GGAAAAGGGAGTGCTTTAATTGCCTTTCCAGGTAACTGTGAATATCCTTCTTTAATATCACACCAAAACTCTACAAATGGTAGCTTATTAAATTAGTTGTGTGAAACCAAAAGTCATATCAATGAACTTTTGATCTATCTTGTCCTTTGAATAGGTCTTTTAAGTAATCATGCATGATTTTGTGTCATCATGCATGGATTATTTGGAAAATGGCACGTTGTTATGAACGTCTTCCAAATTTAGGCAAATTTTCTTATATAATATCCAAAAATCACATTTGTTGCTATCACCACTAATGTCATGAGAAAAGTTGTAATGTATGGGTAGGCTGTCAAGCTCCCAGTGGCAGGTAAAAGTTTTCCCCAAGTCCAATTTCCTCTTGAAAGCTCCAGTTTTAACATTGACAACAAATGCTGTTATTTGCTTTTCCTGAAGTGACAGGCCTTCCCTTTGTTCATTTTTGAGAAAACGTGTGCCAAATACTCAAGTCTGAATAACCATAGTTTGTCAGTTATTCTTTCAAGTGAAAATGGTGTTCCATGAAAAAAAGAAAAGTGGCCTATTCAGCTCCTGACTCAATCACACAAGTGCTTTTCCTAAAGACAACTATGGCACTTCAGTATGCAGTCAAATACTTTATATATTCCTCCTATTTCATCATACAGAACGTTAAAAATAGGGATTTTTAGGGCTGTGCTTGAGCAAAATTAATATGTACTGCTTCATCAGAGATGTATTATGTGAACTGGCATTATTTTTCTTACTGAGAGTGTGGAGCAATGAAGAAAACACAGACTACGCCTATAGTTTGATGCTACTGCACTGAATCCTGCTAAAGCATTAGCAGTTTTAGCACATGCCTATTGCTCTATCAGTGTGAGTGCCAAAACTGAAAAAAGACAAATGCCATTTTGGTATTATTATGAAAGTAGTTTAGAACTCAAAGCTCCCACACAAAGGGCCCGAGGAATCCCCAGTTGTCTAAAATCTATACTTTGAGAACAACTGCCCAAGAAGAAAGCAGTTAGACACCACTAAGTAGTCAAAAGAAGAGAAGTAAAGGATCTGACAATAACTCTGGTACCAAAAGGCATGAACTTGGCAATCAGAACTGGATTCAAGGCCTGACTCTGCTGCTGTGTTCCTGAAGCTTTTTTGTTCTTTATAATTTCCCTAGCTGTACAATGGAGATAATCATAGTTCATACTTTATAGAGCTAATATAACATTTAAATGAGAAAACACACCTAAAAGGTGAGCACAATGCCTGGAATACATTAATAGTAGGTCATCAATAAGTTAGGGAGGAAAACCACAGCCAGTGGAGTGTATTTAATGCACAAGTATAGAAGACAGAAAAACAATGAGATTTTGTGACTGATTTGATAGGAGATTTGAATTAAAGTTATAGGGTTAAGCTCACTTCCAGGTTTCCAGCTTAAGCCACAAATTGACATTAACCCAATAGAGAAATGGAGGTTTGAAGGCATGATAATAAAGTCTGTTTGGAAACTGTTCAGTTTGAAATAGCTGTGAGATATCTGGGTATACAATTAAAATATGGATTTGAGACTCAGAAAGCTGTCTGGGCTGGGGTAAAGTTGATTAAGAAGTTACTGGATGAGTCTGGGCATGGTGGCTCATGACTGTAATCCCAGCACCTCAGAGGCTGAGGCAGGAGGATTGCTTGAGCCGAGGAATTCAAGGCTGCAGTGAGCTATGATCTCGCCACTGCACTCCAGCCTAAGCTACAAAACAAGATCTTGTCTCAAAAAAAAAAAAAAAAAAAAAAAAAAAAGAACAGTCACTGGTTGAAGCTGAAGCTAAGAATATGCATGGCGTTGCCTAGGGAAAAATGGTGAAAGGGTGATGAGTGAAGAGACAAGACTCACACAGCTACCAATTTTTAAGTAATGGGAACATAGAAGATGATAGGCAATGAAGTTAGAACAATTACCTAGATGCCAAAGAGGAATTTCCAAGATGCTAATTAAAACACCTACTTGGGATTTAACAATTAGTCCAACTCTCTGCCTGTAAAATAAATGAAGAACAGTCCCAAAGAAGTTAAGTAATCTCCTCAAAATGTTTACTGACAAACACAAATTATGACTTTTTCTATTATAGTTGATGTATTTGTCTTGAATCTTACTATTATATGATTTGCTCTAAAAGATCTAAGCTGTATATAAATAACTACAGAAAAATAGATTTGACTAGTTCATTTCAGTTTTCCGGTTTCACATGCCAGTGTACTATGATGCTAACAAAATCTTATGAAAGTACTTGAAGCCAGCCAATACAATGAGTACAAAACTAATATTTGTTAATGAATCAGAATCTAGAAAAATGGCATTGTAAACATTTAGGATATGCGGTGGCATTACTAAGGAAAAAATTTTTTTCCATTAGTCATGGCCTATGGGTTCTCACCTTGCCTAATTTTCCAGAGCAGCAGACAGTTTGGCAAATTGTATTGGTCCACAACCTGTAGTATCAGTAGCGTCTCTCTTTCCCTGTCTCTGTCGGGATTTTTATGATTATGTTGCAGACAAAATCGATTAGTTCTGGTCTGTTTCCATGGAAACAAGATTGTGTCAGAAGGCTGTAAATTTTTCATCTTTATGGATGGAAAGTTGCTCTGTGTCATATAACTTGAGACAGAACTAAAAAAATCTGCAATGCATTTTCATGTCTTTGAGAAGGAGAGTGTGAATTGCTGCGAAGGACTGGGTCCATTACTGAGGAGGGATGCTGTATTTTCTCGGTATCTACAAGAGACTATTCTAGTAAGGGTCTAATGTAAAAGACCAGATTGACCAACTAACTACCTAACTGTTGAAGAAAATTAGTTAATTTTCCCAGTAAAATTTTCACTTAAGGCTAATGATTGTCTGGTAGTTACCAATATTCTCAGGCAGCATATGCGCCCAACAGCATAAGATTTATCAAAGGCATACATAGAGCACTCAGCACATTATAATGATAACCACTGGACACATTCCAAGGCAGAATTAAATACTATTTTCTATAATTTCAATAGTTTTGAAATAATACCTGGTTGATGTGTCTCCTTAATCGGGTGGCTGTGAAGATTGAACAATAACACACAAAATTCCGTTGAATGATTACTATGTCTCAGACACTGTCATGCAATATATGCATGCTAGCCCATTTAATCACTATTACAATTTCATGAGGTTGATACTATTATTATTTCCACTTTAAAGATCAAGAAACTTAGGTGCAGGTAGGCTAGATAAGCCAAGGAGCCAAGATTTAAACCTGTCTAGTTAAAAAAAAAAAAAAAGCCTGGGTACTTAAGCCTGCAAAATGAGAAGATTCTTGGTGTTTGCTGAAAGAAAATTAGGATAAATCACTACCTTACTGGGAGGTTACTATGTATAAAGCCCTGTGTCAGGAATGAGTGGCATCATCTAAGTGTAGCAATATAGTCCTCATCTTTATTTCCACATAGAAGATAAAGCAAACAGGAATGAATTAATAACAAATATAAAACCCACATCTACATTCACATGTATGCTACACACTTTGGAGTTATTTAATGATAAATTAAAAGGCTAGGCTACCTTCTTCTATGTCAAGTACCTCTTGCTCTCAATGTATTGTCAAGGAAATCAGCATTACTATTAGTCTGAATAAACCTTTTGAGAAAGTAACTCTACAGCAAGGGTAACACATGTTATAGCCAAATACAAATGAAATCTAGACCCTCTTTATGTTATTGTTCTGTTTCTATTAGCTAAACACATGATTGCCAACATGTGCTAACTAACAAGATGATCTATTTCTGTTTTTCTGTACGCGGACTCAATGTCATGGCTCTGAAAAAAATAGCTTAGTAAAAAAAGCATGAGTTCATCTCTATCTTCAAGATAATTATCCTGGAACTAATTAATTTTTAAGGGTTGATATTTTCTGTGACTTCATCCTTATCAGATAGTTATTAGCTTGAAGAGACAACTGCTAACTAGTAACAAAAATTAAGTCAACATTTTAAAGGACAAATCAGCATCGTTGGGTTTATTAGCTTTTTAATGTTTCTTTTAAATGCTTGCAAAGTAAACTGTGTGTTTGACTCCCCAGTATTCATTCCATTCCAGACGCTTCCTTCAAGCCCCTTGCCAATCTTTGTTTAAAGGCAAGGTATATGGTCTAATTCTGGCCAAGGAAAGGTGAGGGGTCTTCAGTCAAGCGGTTGTTTGTAAAAAGTTTCTTCACTCCCAAGAAAGAGAACAAAGAGAATATAGCATTTTCTGTCCTCTGGTCCCTTTTCTATTGGGATAGAATACATGGCACTACTTCAACCAAATTAAAACCAGAAGAGATGCCAATCTGAGGGCAAAGCTGACACACTGAGGGTGGCAGGTCACAGAGACATATTTACCCCTGGGCCTTTGACGGTTCACTCAGCTTGTGGACCCAAACAACCTCTGCACTGCTTGTTCTGTTCAATAAACGTCTTTCTTGACTAAGACAGTTTTAGACAGTTTTTCTAGTTAGTTGCAGCTGATACACCAAATAAATAAATAGTCTTTGGTCAGTTCAAAAACTTGACCAATCGAGAAGCCAGCTCACAACCAAGTACTCACCACATATTTGGATGACCTTTACCCCATACAGTCAGGTGAGCTGTAGATCCAATTACCAAATAAATATAATAAAATTTAAAGTAAATACAATCCAGAGTAATTTACTAAATACACAGGATGAATGTCTCTTTTAAAAGAAAAATATATAAAAAACTGAGTTAATCTCTCTTTCTTACATCAATAGCCTTTGGCATCGTTCCATCCCCTATGTCATCTCTGCTATGTCTCCCTGTATATATTTGCCTCATTGGAAGAACAAACTGGTAGAGGAAGGAAGAAAACCCCCTTCTGCCTTCTTTTGGTCCTGATACAGCTGTTCTGGTTAAATGTAGAAACTTTAGTTTATTTTCCACAAAAACAAATTTATACCCAGAAGTTGTGTAGTTACCTTAGTCACAGCACCTTTTCCCGGAAAAGCTCCAGGCCCCTTCTGTGAATTATCTCATTTATTCTTACAATATCCCTAGAAGAGATTCTTTGCTCCTTTCCCAGTAAGCCACTCTACTATGAATCCTTGACAGATATCTCATCCCTGACAAACCTTGACGTGGCTTGGCTTCAGCTTTCTTGCTCCATGATCTGTGTAGAAAGAGAATACAGGTGAAATTAGCCTATAATCTTTGACATTTGGCATAGGGGTGCTCTGGCTCTGTGTCTGGGTTTTATTCCTTTTTTTTTATAGCCCTAGATCGAGAAAGCAGGGATGATGCAAAGCAGGATACTTAAACCCTGTTAGAAGCATGCCCTAGCACGACTTAGGAAGAATGGGACCAGGAACCACTGCCAGGATCCTAGGGTGGGGACAGGGGCGCTTCCTCCTTCTTTGGCAGCCTTGATTCATTTACTCTTTCTGAAGGCATGCTGGCACTCCTGAGCATCCTTCTGTTCTTCCCTCTTGCTTCCTTCTCTCCTCTTCCCTCCTTACATCTTCCCCTTTGCTTCTTTTCCTCAAATACCTCAAACACCAAAGAGGTAGACTAGTGGAACATGTGGTTCACATTGGTGTTGTAGGTCATTTTCTAGTTCCTTTTCCTCTCCACCTAAAACCCAGTTTGATAGGCTTACTAAAATAAGACAAGAGCTTCTAAGAGTACATTTTAGATAAGCTGAGGTAAAAAGCCTGCATGCTAAATATTAACCTAAATGTAATAACCAGATGTCATACTCCTTTCTGCTATAACCAACAGCAATGGCTTAGCAGAGTTAAACCAATAATAATTATTTCAAAGGGCAATATATATAATTCTACAATCAGTAATTAACATTTAAAACAACATTTACTGCAATTCATTTATACAATGCTCATAAGCCAAACTAGTCATGAATTCTCACCAGTAAATTTCCCTTGACCACTTACCGTAACAAAAAAAACATTAAATCTCACTTTTACAATTTTATACAAGGTCTATAAAATCTTTGTCTCCAGATGAACTCTCTACTAAGCCATCGCTTTTTTTTTACTCTATTCTGTTACCAGAGTGATGGTTTCAAAACACATACCCTACCCTTGTTCAAATCTGTCAGTGGTTCTCAGTGACTCAGAATCACTTTAGCAAAGTATGGAAGTGCCTTTATGATCTGGCCTGTGCCTCTCCTCTCTTACCTCTCAGTAAGTGGTAACAATAACACAAATGCTAATGATAATACCCATCAGACGCACCACGCATCAGAAATTGAGCAATAGATTGTTACATAAATTTATAATCATTCAATAAATGTTAGTCCCCTCTACTTCACAGCCTTAAGCTTAATAAATGTTATTTCCCTTGTCTTCATAGTACACAAGTAACTAAGTTTTAAATACTTTGACCTTCAGCCTGAGCTATAATGAACATGATGTTAAGTATGTTAAACAACCAAAACATCAATTTAAATACCTTTTTAAAACATTTGAGAGCTTTCTGCTGGGATGTGGAGGGGCTTGAGGTAGGGAAGTCTGGATATTGAAGAGCGAGTAAGGAGGAGCAGAGGGTAGAGTTTGAGAAAGCATCCCAGAAGTTTCTGATTTGCTTGAATTATCTTTCTTTTTCCTATCCTTGTGAAAATTACTGATTTACAGATTGGAGAAAATGTATTTTATGGCCTTGGCTTCAAACAGGAGAGAGAATTTTTGTTTGTTTGTTTTTAATCCCAAGTATCCATGGGAAATCGCAGTGATTCCTTCATGTGGATTCATCCTCCAATTTAGGCCACATACTTCAAACTGTATTATATCTTAATAAGAGTTGCATGTCACTCATGTTTAAAAGCAGCCCTGGTTTACAAATTAACCATTATATAAAATTGGACTCTAAGCAATTCTGAACTTCAGTGAGCGTAAGAATCGCCTGTGCGGCAGGGCGCGGTGGCTCATGCCTGTAATCCCAGCACTTTGGGAGGCCGAGGTGGGCAGATCACAAGGTCACAAGTTCGAGATAGCCTGACCAACATGGTGAAACCCCGTCTCTACTAACAATACAAAAATTAGCCGGGCGTGGTGGTGAACGCCTGTAATCCCAGCGACTCAGGAGGCTGAGGCAGGAGAATCGCTTGAACCTGGGAGGTGGAGGTTGCAGTGAGCTGAGAATACACCACTGCACTCCAGCCTGGGTGACACAGCGAGACTCCATCGCCTCTCCCCTCAAAAAAAAAAAAAAAAAAAAAAAAGAATCATCTGTGCTACTTGTAAAAATGCAGATTTCTGGATTCAATTTCTGGAGATTCTGAAAAAGTAGATCTGAGGTAGCGCACAGGGATCTGCATTTTTAATACACTCTCCAAGTCAGTTTTGTGCAAGCGATATATAGACGATTATTTGAGAAAGGATGCTCTGAAGGAATGAGTAAAGAATACAATCTGAGTGCTTTTGGTAATCAAGCCTAGAGTTTATCTCTAATGTACCCAGTAACTAAGCAAAAAATGGAAGCATATTGGATCACATGAATTTTGTTCTATTTTAGGAAAAAAACACATTTCCTAAAAGCTATGTATAAAAAGCAAACATTTTTCAAGAACTGAACTGAAGGGAGGAAAGTTTTAGGATATAGTATAAAGGACATGAGGCAACACGCTCAGCAGACATCTTAAGTTTAATTTTGCACAGATGCGTACAAGGTTCAGTCGAAAAAGTCTTTCTCTGATGGCTGCAATTAGTTAAACTCAGTGAATTTCATTTAGAAGGTGATGAGATAAGATGGTCCAGAAACTTTGCTTTCAGATGACCTAATACATTGATTGGATCTGGAGATCCCCCCAAAATGGTTAGCCTGCATTTGAAATTATCTTAATAAAATTTCAGCATTTTAGTAATTTAGGGGAAAACCTTCAGTTTTCAAATAAGGAAGTGATAGCTCAAACAGCATGATAGAAACACTATCCTAAAAATGCTAGATGTCACCAGTTGAGGAATCTTAGACAATTTAAATCTTTAATTTTATTTTTCTTAAGCCGTTTCTACTTAGTATTGTTATTAATGCTTATGCTAATATCAACAATTGAATATTCTAGAGGTAAGTTTGTTTGTATTCTCTTTTGTGGTTATTTTAGTTTATCCTGAACATTTATTTATCCTTTAAGATCTTCTAGTTCCCAGTGTTTGTAAATTTTTTGTTTTACTATGGCTCCACTATTTTTAGCATCATTTTGCATCTTTACCCTTTGTTTCTGGCCATGAATGCAACTTTATTTTCTTTCAATTGTTTTTATCTTCCTTTATACTGATGACATGATATACCTGCTTAAGAATTTTCCAGGTTACAACCATCTGTGTCATGCAGCAGGCTGTAAAATTCTGGCTATTCAGCATTTTGCGCAAGAACAGAAGCAGATCCAAAGGTGGTCATGGAGGAACTCACAAGCTTTGCCATGAGGAAGGGACAGCTTTCCATCTGGGTGGGAACCTGGTTGGCTCTTCGACCTCTGTGAAGAGGTAACAGCCTCAATTACGATCTGCTCACTTGGTTTTAAGACTTCAGGTCCCTATTAAAGAGGTAACTTCAAATGGGCAAATCACCAAGATATCATAGGGTGAAATACTGGAATGTTGTCTAGGAAACCAAATTGTCCATTCAGTTCTTAGGGAGCGCCAGAGATTCTCCTTGTAGCAACTTTGACCACCTTCATGGTGGTCCATGTTAACTTAAAGTCTGAGACTTCTTTCTTTGTGTTGTATAAAATTCATTTCTTCCTTTAAAAACGTTGGGCTCGGGAGACTCAGAGCTAAGTGTACATTTTGAAACAGTAAATTCATTAGCATACAGTCCTTAACAGATGTATCACATACATTTTCTCCATTTTCCTTGTCTTGAGATGCCTATTGCACAAAGATATATTTATATATCTTTGAACCTGGGAGGCAGAGGTTGCAGTGAGCTGAGAATACGCCACTGCACTCCAGCCTCAGTGACAGAGTGAGACTCCATTCCCCCCACCTGTGCTACTTGTAAAAGATGCAGATTTTATATATATATATAAATATACATATATATTTTATATTTATATATATATAAAAAACTTAGCATCACTTTTTAAAAGAGGAGGGATATAATAAATAAAAATAAAATTCTTCTATGTGATTTAAGACTTTTTCATTCTTTAGCATGATTCTATACTTCTTATAAACCATTTTTTCTCAAGGACTATACTTAATTTTATAATAAAAATAAATATTAAGAAATGAACTTGGAAGCACTGTATCCTAACATTGAAAATAATCTTTCAGGCCATCTAGTTTCACCAACCTAATTTAAAGCAGTGGTTCTCAAAATTTAGCATCAGAATCACCAGGCTAACATCTTGCTAAAACACAGATTTCTGGGCTCCACCCCAGGTATATATGGGTGGGACCCAATTTTGCATTTCTAACAAATGCACAGATAATGCTGATGTTGCCAGCCCAGGAACCACACTTTGACAATACCGAGCTTATAGAATCCAGAATTTTATGGATTTTTTTTTTCGTATTAGTGTATTTTATTTTTTATTTTTTATTTTTTTATTTTTATTTTTATTTTTTTTTATTTTTTAAATTTATTTATTATTATTATACTTTAAGTTCCAGGGTACATGTGCATAACGTGCAGGTTTGTTACATATGTATACTTGTGCCATGTTGGTGTGCTGCATTGTTTGTTTTTTTTTTGTTTTTTTTAAGGTTAGAAACATGTATACTGCATATACAAAAATTAATTCAAGATGGATTAGAGACTTAAATGTTAGACCTAAAACCATAAAAATCCTAAAAGAAAACCTAGGCAATACCATTCAGGACATAGGCATGGGCAAGGACTTCATGTCTAAAACACCAAAAGCAATGGCAACAAAAGCCAAGATTGACATATGGGATCTAATTAAACTAAAGAGCTTCTGCACAGCAAAAGAAACTACCATCAGAGTGAACAGGCAACCTACAGAATGGGAGAAAAGTTTTGCAATCTACTCATCTGACAAAGGGCTAATATCCAGAATCTACAAAGAACTCAAACAAATTTACAAGAAAAAAACAACCCCATCAAAAAGTTGTCGAAGGATATGAACAGACACTTCTCAAAAGAAGACATTTATGCAGCCAAAAGACACATGAAAAAATACTCATCATCACT